CAGGGGACCTGGTTGCTGTCTGTGCAGGGGCCTGAAAGCTTTGGTACTTGGCCTGGGGGTACTGGAGGGCCCTAGCCATCCCACATTGCTGCTAGGGGCCCATGTGCTGTCAGGAATCGAATTCGGAGCCTCATGTGTGCCAGGCATGCTCTCTCTCTCTCTCTCTCTCTCTCTCTCTCTCTCTCTCTCTTAGTAAAACACCATGAGGTACAGTTGTAGACTTACAAACTTTCATGCTTGGGTTTGAGTTATACAATGATCGAGTACCCATCCCTCCACCAGTGCCCATTCTCCACCACCAATGATCCCAGTAGCCCTCCCACCCCCACCCCACCCCACCCCCAACCCTGGCCCGCCTCTGTGGCAGGGCATTCCCTTTTGCTCTCTTTCCTTTAGGGTGTTGTAGTTTGCAATAGAGGTATTGAGTGGTCATCGTGTTAGGTCTGTAGTCTACTTTCGGCACGCATCTTGCATCCTTTACTTGGTGTTCCCTTCTCTATCTGAGCTGCCTTTTCCCCCAGGGCATCACTTAATCACTTAATCCCCGCTATTCATCGATTTATTCGAGCGGGTGCCAGTAACGTCTCCATTCATCCCGGTTGCGTGCTAGTGTAGCCCAATGGTATCTGTTCGTTCTAGGAACATGCAGAGCCTCAAACCGATCATTTAGGGTCTTGACGAAGAAGTCTGACCATCTTATAGGTGGACGTCCACGTGATCTTTTGATGTCCCGTGGAATCCAATCAGTAATGGCTCTAGTCCAGTGGTTGTCTGTAAACCTCATAACATGTCCAGCCCATCTGATTTTTGATGTCTTGGCAAATGAGACAGCGTCCCTGATTCTTGAGCGTTGACGAAGATCAGAACTCCGGATTCTATCTCTCATTTGAGTGAATCGTGATATTCCAAGCATAGTTCTTTCGATTCCTCTTTGAGAGACCCAAATAGCGTTCTCATCCCGTTTTCGTAGGGTCCAGGTCTCTGAGGCATATGTTAATGCAGGAAGAACAGTGGAATCAAAGAGATGTGCTCGTAGCTGGAGGTTCTTTGTCCTTTTAGTTATTTCTTCAATGCTCTTGAAGGCATTCCAAGCCGCTCTCTTCCTCCTGCGCAACTCAGGTGCCAGGTCATTCATCATGTTGATTTCTCGACCTAGGTATATATAACTGTTGCATTCGGAGATGGTGGTTCCGTTGAGAGCGAATGGAGTGTCAGGAACAAGGCTGTTTCTCATAAACATTGTCTTCGTAAGATTCAGCTGTAGTCCGACCTTTCCACATTCACGGTCAAAGTCGTTCAGCATTTGTGCTGCTTGGCTGAGGTTTGGTGTTATTAGAACGATGTCATCAGCAAAGCGGAGGTGGTGTAGTTGCCAACCATCTATCTTCACTCCCATGCTTTCCCATTCCAGTCGTCGCATGATGTTCTCAAGGGTGGCACTGAAGAGTTTTGGTGAAATGGCATCACCCTGCCGAACCCCTCTCTTGATATGGATGATTACTTCTTTGTAGAATGGTGAGATCTTGGTAGTGAATCCGCAATAGAGCTCACGAAGGATCCTGATGTATTGAGTTTGTACACCCTGATTGGCTAGGGCTTCCATGACCACTTCCGTCTCAACAGAATCAAAGGCCTTCTTTAAATCAATGAACGTTAGACAAAGCGGCATCTTGAACTCCCGAGAAACCTCAATGAGCTTAGTAATCCTGTGGATATGGTCGATGGTACTGAATCCTTTTCGGAATCCAGCTTGTTCACATGGTTGTCCTTCATCTAGTGTTCTGCTAATCCTATTCAGGATGACTCGAGTGGATAGTTTGTAGATGACAGACAATAGGCAGATTGGGCGATAGTTGCCAATGTCGTGGATGTCTCCTTTCTTGTATAGTAGTACAGTCCTGCTGGTTTTCCATTGGGATGGAACCTTGCATTCAGACAGGTAGTGTGTGAAGAGCCAAGCCAATGTATTGATGAGTACTGATGGTAAGTTCTTCAGGTGTTCAGGTCTGATCTTGTCTGGGCCAGGTGCTCTTTGTTTCTTTACCGACGAGATGGCATGTTGGATTTCGGAAGGGAGAACATTGGGAACGACATATCCATCATGTGGTATGTGGTATGTGGGCAAGTGGACGTGGCTATTAAAGAGATCTGAGTAGAAGTCATGAATAATCTTCTCCATTGCCCTTCTGGAAGATGTGATAGATCCATCATGATGTCGGAGGGCAGTCATCTTGGTTTTGTAGTTGGTGAAGGACAGGCGGGCATTACGAATGCTTTTCCCAGCTTCTGCCGCATCTACCAGTACTGCTGCTCTCCTGTTTTTGAGGTCATCCTTGATGGCTTCTCTGCACTGTTTTGCCAGTTTGGATGTTCGCTTGTGGTTGCCTGAGGCATGTGCCAAGCCACGTTGGCGAATAAGTTCAAGAGTGTTCGAAGAAAGGCGGTTTTTTGTGGTTACCTCTCTCTTGGCATTCCTTGCACAATCATGGAGGTGCTGAATCATTCAATCGTATTCCTCATCAATGTTGTCAATGACGGCATCTTCCCATGTTGCCGCAACAGAGCCAAAGAGCTCCCAGTTGGTGGTTGTTCTGGGAGTCCTCTTCTTAAACCTTGCATTCTTTTCTCCTCGTTCTGTGAGGTAGAATTTTGCACGAAGAAGACGGTGGTCTGATCCCGTTTGGAATTTTGGGACAACAGCAACATCGGTTAGGCAAAACCATCGATTGAATATGATGTGGTCTATTTCATTGTGGAACCGTCCATCGGGAGACTTCCATGTCCAACGTTTAGATTCAGCCTTTTGGAACTGTGAGTTACCATGGAAGGTTTTGGTTGACATGATGAACTCAGACAGTCTGTCATCCTGTTCGTTCCATTCCAGGCCATGGGTCCAGATGTGGAGTTCATCGACTGATCTTCTTGGTCCTATCTTGGCATTAAAATCACCGACAATGATCTTGTAGAAGGTGTGATCTTCTTTATAGAACTTCTCCAGCTCCATGTAGAATTTCTCAGTTTCTCTTTCACCATAACTGGATGTTGGTGCATAGACAACAAAGATAGAAACTGCCGGTAGTGAGCCACATTTATTCAAGTGTAATCGTCCGATTCGGGTTGTTAGGCATTCGAATGAATCAATGCTCGTGACTAAGTTTGTGTTGACAAGGATACCGACACCACTGACGCCTCTTTTATCACATGTTCCAAGGAACAGTTCTTCTCCAGTGTCGAAAACGGCATGATGTGATTGATGTCTTCTCGTTTCGGTCAGACCAATGATGTCGTACTTGATCTTTCGCGTTTGTACCATAAGGTCTTCAATGGATGCAGCAGATGCCAGCGTACGAGCATTAAAAGTACAGACAATCGTTTTTGTATTTCTGCGTTTTGGCAGCCTATTTCTGCCTTGGTATTTTATCAGCCTCTCTCTCCATATCCTTCTCGACTCTGCATATTCAGGGTTAGGGAAATGAGATCCATTTATTACTGGATTTGGCATATCAATTTGGTCTATTTGGCATAGACCATGAATAGCTTGCCAGGCTCTGCCGTGCGGGTTGGATATTGAAGGTACCCTGAAAACTTAGAGAAAAGTAAATAAATAGTCGCATGGCCGCGAATGCGACCGCGCGCTCCCGGGAACTTGTTGTGATAATCTCTGGATCCTGGCCGTTGTTGGGGTTACACGGCAGTTGGAGGGTGTAACTGTCTAGCTACTGACAGGTCCAGTCCCAAACCGTGCAGGCTTGGAGATCTCAGCCCCGGGTCCCACACACCTGGGTTCCTCTGCCAGTTCTGTTATGCCTGAGGCTTATCCAAGTGTGTGGAGAGTGGTCCCAGTAAGGCCTTGGCTGGGGTCTGGAGGTCTTCAGCTGTTGGGCCCTGGTGAGGATAGTCAGGCACAGGGTAGGAGACTCTGCCTTGTGCTCTCCCGGGAGCTTGTTGTGATAATCTCTGGATCCTGGCCGTTGTTGGGGTTACACGGCAGTTGGAGGGCGTAACTGTCTAGCTACTGACAGGTCCAGTCCCAAACCGTGCAGGCTTGGAGATCTCAGCCCCGGGTCCCACACACCTGGGTTCCTCTGCCAGTTCTCTTATGCCTGAGGCATAACCCCAGGGTATGCCCTCTCTTAATCCGAATCCCTGCCTGCCTTGCCCCTGCAGTCTGTTGATGCAGCTGAGCCTGGGACAGAGGAACCAGAGGAGGGTAGATTCCTCGGAGGCAGACTCAACCCTACCCAGCTTTGCGTGGGTGTGGCTGCAGGAAGAGGGGACACAGCCGGTCCTGCGCTTGGCCTTGGTAGCTGTGGGGCGGGGATGGGTTGGCAGGGCCAAGGTTGGGCGGGGGGAGGAGTTTTCTCTTCAACCATCCTTGCTACAACCACCGTGAGTGTGGATCACATTAAATATTTGTTTTGTTTTGTTTTCAGTTTTAGTCACTGTGATTTACGGTGTTGATCCAGGCAGGATTTCATTCAAAAGCCTTCCAATGCCACATCCACCCCAGAATGTCAGCTGCCGGCCACCATGCCCCAGAACTGCCCCAGTCCCACCCCCCACAGTGATGGGTCCCTACGAAGGACCACCCACGTTTCCATGCCGTTCTTTCCTTTTTGGAGGCGGAGAGAGAGGGACAAATCCTGTGATGCTCAAGGGTTACCCCTGGCTCTGTGCTCAGGGATCACTCCTGGCGAGGCTCAGGGGACCATATGGGATGCTAGAGATCGAACCGGGTCAGCTGTGTGCAAGGCAGATGCCCTCCCTGCTGTCCTACGGCTCTGGCCCAGGTCTCATTTCTGGTGCCTCTGAGTGTTGGTTGTTTCTTTATGTAGCGCACGTGGCCAGAGCAATCAGGTAGGAAAGGGATATTACAGGCACCCAGATCAGAAAAGTAGTGGAGCCCATTTCTGACTAGAAAGGTGTTTCCAGAAGTGTCTGAGACACAGTTACCCAGCAAACACCGCTCTGCTCTGACTCTGGGCTTCTGTTTCGCTCAGCACATCCTGAGCAGAATTCAGAAGCTGACGGCTCCGTGGACCGTGGAGGTGGACACCTTCGTGAGCTGGACCCCCTTCGGGTACCGGTCTTTCTCGAACATCATCAGCACCCTCAACCCGTCCGCCAAGCGCCACCTGGTCCTTGCCTGCCACTATGACTCCAAGTACATGCCGCACTGGAACCGGGTGTTTGTGGGTGCCACCGACTCGGCCGTGTCCTGTGCCATGATCCTGGAGCTGGCTCGTGCCCTGGACACAAAGCTTGTCTCCTTGAAGGTATGGACTCCTCAGATAGAAATGCTCCCAGGAGCACACGTAGAAGGCCTGGGGAGACAGACTCCGCCTGCATTTTTTTTTTCTTTTTGGGTCACACCCAGCGATGCTCAGGGGTTACTCCTGGCTCTGCACTCAGGACCATATGCTCGGGGAACCATATGGGATGCTGGGAATCAAACCCGGGTCAGCCACGTGCAAGGCAAACGCCCAACCCACTGTGTTGTCGCTCCTGCCGCTCCTGCCTCTCCGCATGCATTTTATACTGATCTGTCGCAAACAGTGGGAGGGCCACTGAATATTCGTGGGAAGACAGCCCTATTGAGAGTGTCAGCCGGGGGCAGCAGATTTAAGATATCCAACTGCGAGCTGATCCCCTGGTCCCTGCTGTGCTCGGGGCACATCTTACACTCAAAGGCAAGGGGTCTTCTCTAAAAGCAAAGATCGTGGATGGTTCTTGTAGGCAAATGTATGAAAACTCTACTTGTCCTTCCCTCGGTAGTTAGGGTCCAGCCGATGGATAAGCCCGAGTTGGGGAGAACGTTGCTGCAAGGTGGTCCAAGGGAGACAGCGGGAAAGCAGGCGTCGGGGGAGGGAGAACAAGGGGCAGAAAAAACGCTTTCTTGTTATCGGTGAATCTCGGCTCAGTTTTACCATGCAGGGCAGAGCCTTTGTCAGGGCCTGCCGTTCCAGTCCAGGAGTTCGCTGGGTCGACTGGTAAACAGCACTCTGCTTCAGAGATGTGGTCAGATTTCACTCTGAACCTAGTCTGTGGGCAAAGCCAGACAGGCATCCCCCAGAAGGCCACCTCACTCGTCCAACCCGCCTCTGAGACGGGGCGGGAGAGAAGGGAAAGGGTTTATCTTGTAATTGAAGGAAGAGAGATATCTGGTTTGTTTTCGCCCACTGCTGGGCTTGAAGAAAGCAGGACCTCAACTCTGTTGTTGCCTTTGGGTTTTGTTTGTGGGCTCTGGTCTCCCGCCTGTAACCCACTCCCTTTCCCACGGTCAGGCAAGATCCGACCCTTGGTCAAAGGCTTTGGCATGAGCTTGACTTAGAGAGAATCTGAGGGCAGGACAGGGACGTCCCCTGGGGGGCTGTTACCTTTCCTCACCCAGCTCACACCTGCCTGGGCATCCAAACCAGAGAGGGCTGATGGAGTGGTGGGTGGGGGACCCCCGTGTGCAGTGGACGATCTTGTCTTCCGTCCCTGGGTAGATAGGAAAGAGCGACTTACACAGAGGCCTGCTCTGGGCGCGGGCCTGGCGGGTGTGACTTCTTCTGTGTGGAGAGTTCTTGGGGCGTCTGCAGTCATCCTGCTGGAGCTGGGGAACTGACCTGGACACAGCTGGCCTTCTGCTCCGGCTTTGCTGGCCTCTCCCCTAGAAGCCCCTTTTGTCTGGGCACTTTTCACTGTTCCTCCCTGACTTTGGCCCTGGCTCTTTGACTCTCTCCCCAACAGGATGCTAGAAATGGCCCAGCCGAGGCTGGCCAGGCGCTTGGCCTTGGCTATGGCCAGGAGGAGGTGGACCCTGGCCCATCCCAGAAGGAGACAGAGCCCCCCGGCCCCCAGCCGAGCTGCCCACCCCTCCCTGGAGAGCACAGGCACATCGCTTTAAGCTGCAGAGTCTGGGATGCTTCCGTTTCCAAAGCCTCATCAGTGCAGCCTCTGCTGTTTAGCCCTGATGGCCAGCAAATGAGCACGGGTGGACGGCACCAGGAGAGGGAATGTGCCCAGGTGGCAACTGGGGGGCCCTGCTCTTGGGAATCAAGGCCATGGCTGTCTCCCTGCTGGTCTGGGACGGCAGAATCTGCCCTTGCCCGAGCATGTTGCTGGGTCACTCCATCCCCGCCCCCGGAGGCTGGTGACCGTGCCCATGGGCAGGGGGGTCCCTGGTCCCACACAGTCCCCTTCTGCTCTTGGATCTCGGCCAGAACTCTAGGGCCCTGGGCTGATCTCTGTGGGGGAGTGTGGCTTCCCCCACCCCAGCCACTGTTGCTCGGGGCACCTGGGGGAACTTCCCTTTGATTCTGGGCCGACTGGCGGGTCAGTGGGAGGGGCCCGGGGCGTGGTGCTGGCACCGCCATGTCCCCCTAGCTGAACTCAGGAGACCACGCTGTGGCAGGGGTGACCTGGCTTGGCTGAGCGAGGCCATAAGCCCTCAGGACCGGCACACAGCGGGAAACGGCCCCCAGGGCCACTAATGCTGGCAGGTAGCTCGACCCACGGACGCAGCCCACACTGGGAGTGACCAGGGGCATTAGAGAGACTCGAGGCCAGTGTGAGCACCAGCCTGCAGAGACGCTGCTTCCCGAGGCCAAGACATTCCTTTTCCTGTTGAGGAAAATCTCCTTTAAACAGAGTAGGAAGAGGCTCCCTTGAGGGGGGCCCAGAGCTTCTGTTTCTGGGTACTGGAATCAAAGGGCAGATTCCAGCAAACGGACCGGCAGGGTGAAGGGGGGTGCGTCATGGGCACTGGGGAGGGGCTGGAGGGGGCCGGCGAGGACGGCAGGGAGTGGGTGGGGAGAAGTGTGTCCAGGAACCCAGTAGCTCTTGGGTCTGGCAGTTCCAGTACGAGGAAGCCAGCTGAGACCCATGGTGGGAAACGGGAGGCAGGAGGTAGACGCCCCACGTGACCTCTGGGGTCTCCCGTGGTGCTGACCCAGATCGAGTCTCTGCCTGTGTGTCCCACGGTTCTATGGAGCCCTGGAATGTGAGTGGACACCAAGGCCAGCTCCTGAGAGTGTCAGGACTCAGGCTGGGAAGGGCCTGGAGGGCAGGCGGGGGCGGGGGACGCCCAGAACCTGCATGTAAGTGTGTCCCCAGACGGGGCCGGGAGCACTGGGCAAGTGTCCCCGTGGGTTTGGGCAGGCAGCAGGCTGGGGCCTGGGTGCCAGGTGGAGGCGGACCTGACTGTGACTAGTGCGGGCTCCGCACGAGGACATGAGAGGCCATGAGCAGGTGGACGCAGGTGAAGGATGGTGGGCTCAGAGCTGGGACCATCTGTGTGGGGGTGGACACAGGCCCCGCCCTTCCACGGCTGACACGCCGCTGCTGAAGGCACCTCGGAACCCTGTGCTGTGTCGAGTTCCGAGGACTTCCTGTCCCCTGGTGGCCTCTGCCCAGAGCACTGTCTGTCTGTCTGTCCTGAGCCTGGGAGGTGCCGTGCTTGCTGCTGGGGCTTGGGACCAGAAAAGGCGGAGCTGGGGCAAGGCCAGCCCGTGCTTGGCAGCTCTGCGGTGGGCAGGACTGGCACTGCTGGGCACCTCTCCTGGGGCTGACAGCACCGGCCCTGGGAGGGGAACTTGGGGTGTTCACCCCCACCCCGTGCCCTAAGGAAGAACAGCACGGGGTGGGGTCAGACCTGAGGGTCAGGCTGAGGGGCCATCCCACCAGGTGGGACACTGCGGGTGCAGCGCTCAGCCCTTCCTCCCCTCTCTCCCCCCCTGCTCCCCCTCTCCCCCCTCCCCTGTCTTCCCTCCAGGCCCAGGATCTCTCCCTGAAGCTCATCTTCTTTGACGGGGAGGAGGCGTTTCAGAGCTGGTCACCCAGCGACTCTCTCTACGGGTCCAGGCACCTGGCGAACAAGATGGGGTCCACCCCGCACCCGCCTGGGTCCCAGGAAACCAACCAGCTGCATGGCATAGTGAGTGGGGTGCCGGCTGGATGTGATGAATGGGGTGTGGGGTGGTGAATGGGGTGAGTGGGTTGAGTGGGTACGGGGCTGAGTGCATGTGGGTGCAGGGGTGAGGGGGTGAGTGGGTACGGAGGTAAGGGATAGGGGGGTGGGTGGGGTGAGGGGTGAGGGGACGAGTGTGGGATGTGAGGGTGAGTGGGGGTTGGAGTGGGTGTTGAGTGGGTTGTGGGGGTTCAGGGGTGAGGGGGTGCAGGTCACAGTGAGTCAGCCCCAGCCTCCAGGCCTCTGAGGCAGCTCAGCTGGCCTCGTGGTGGAACCTTCCGGCAGGAAGCGCTTTGGGCTGGCAGGGCTGAGCCACCGGGAAGTGGGGGAGGGAACCCGGAGGGGGCGAGTGTGTGTGTCCTGAGTTTCCAGTGTCCTGGGGCTCTGCTTGGTTCCCGTTGCCCCCCCCCCCCCCGTGCCTCGTGGCATGACCCCCGGCCCCCCAGTCTTTCACCCGCCCAGGACCCCTCCTCCTGAAGCCCGCCTGCTCCACACTCCCTGCCCCCAGGGCCCTCCTCAGTCGTGGCCCACCTACCCCCCCCCTCCGACCCAAACCTGACTTTCCGCCCACAGGGTGACTGGCCACTGGAAAGGCCCTCGGAGACCCTCACGTCCCAGCTGGGCCTCCCTTGTCCCTCTGTCCATCCGCAGCCTGGTCAGGGCCTGTGGCTCGCAGTGCTTGTGCCGGTGTGGCTGAGGACAGTGGGGAGGGCACTCACCTGGCTCATGCCTCCACCGAACCCACCAGAGCGACCCTGAGCGCAGAGCCGGGAGTCGGCCCCCAGCCCGCCGGGCTCTCTCTGCCTTCCCTCCGATGCGTCTAGGAGGTGTCGGGGAAGCATGACGGAACGCCCTTATTTTCTCCCCCAGGATTTATTTGTCCTGCTGGACCTGATTGGAGCCCCCAACCCCACCTTCTCCAGCTTCTTCACCAGCACCGTCCGGTGGTTCCGCAGGCTGGAGACTATCGGTAAGCTGCGTCTGCCGGGCCTCTGCCTTCGCTGTTGTGGGGGATGCCCCGGGGGGGCCGTGAGGCCGTGACACAGCAGGGTGGCGACCGAACTTGTGTCTTCACAGTGAGGCGGCCTCTCCTCTCGGGAACACGTCTCTGAGCCCCCCACACCCCAAACCCAAACTCCCAGACTTCAGTGCACACTTGTGGTCTGCAATGTGCCCTCCTGTTTTATTTTTATTCAAAAAAAAACACCCCCTTTATTTAAACACTAGACTCTATTTAAACCTGCATGTAAGCGTGTCCCCCAGATGGGGCCGGGAGCACTGGGCAAGTGTCCCCAGGGGTTTGGGTGGGCAGTGGGCTGGGGCCTGGGTGCCAGGTGGAGGTGGAGTTGACCGTGACTGGCGCGGGCTTCGAGTGAGTCATAAGACAGTTGTTTCGGGTGTTCAAAGTTCCAACACCAACCTCGCCCCCACCAATGCCCCGCCCCGTTTCCCACTCACCCCCCAAGCAGGCATGAAGTCATTTATTTCATATTGCTTGTAAAGAACAGAATGGTAAGTGGGATCTGTAGCACTGTCCACTGTAGCACTGTCCTCCCGTTGTTCATCAATTTGCTCGAACGGGCACCAGTAACGTCTCCATTGTGAGACTTGTTGATACTGTGTTTGGCATATCACATACGTCACCGGGAGCTTGCAATACTCTTGGTAGCTTGCCAGGCTCTCCGAGAAAGACGGAAGAATCAAGCCTGGGTCGGCCGCGTGCAAGACAAACGCCCTACCTCCCACTGGGGTCATGGCGGGCGTCTGGGGGTCTGCCAGGCCTCCCGTGTGCCCGGTTCTTCCGGGGGTGGGGGGGGGCTTAGTGGGCTTCTGGGCCACTTCCCCTCCCCAGCCATCAGTGTTGTGGCATTTGGAGTTTATGTGGTTAAGGCCACATTCCAGGAGCTCCAGGACCTTGTAGAACTGGGACAGTTGTCCGCCCACCCGCTCCCGGGGACATTCCCAGAGACACTCCCGGTGACACCCCCGGGGTTTCAGCCATGAGCGGCATCTGTCCGCAGCCGTGTGAGGCCAGGAGCTGGGCCATGTGTCAGGCTGGCGCTGGTGGCCTCCTCTCCCGTTTCTCTCGGGATTGCTGTCTCCTGTGCTCACAGGCTCACTTTCCTGCCTGGCAGCGCGTTTTGAAATGGGAGCAGAATTTGGCTTTTCTTGTTCGCCGTGTTTCGAAACCGCCTGAAAACATTTCCTCTGGGACCCTCTTGAGGCGGAGGGAATGTTTCTCCAGAGACGGCGTTTCTCCGTTCCCAGATGTTGGCTAGTGCTGCGTGCTGCGTCCTCATCCGATGCCAGGGACGTCCTTTAACTTTCCCTCTTCTCCGTCCCGGCCTGTCGTGTTCTTCCAAAACATCCCTTTGCTTTATTTACTGTCGTGTTTTGGTTGCAGGGTCACACCCAGCAGTGCTTGCGGGGGACTCCTTGCTCAGGGGTTCCTCCTGGCAGTGCTCAGGGGACCGTGTGGTGCTACGAGTGAGCCCTCCACAGTCTGTCCCTCCAGAGATCATTCCCCTTGGGCCTGAGCACAATCTCTGCTTGTTTTCCAAAGGGCAGGAGTTGGGATCCGGCTGCCGGTGTCACACAGGCCTCAGCCAGGCCGATCACAATCACCCAGGAGGAGCATCGCTCTAGCTTTGTTCTCTTTCTTTTTCTTTCTGGTTTTGGGCGACACCCAGTGGCGCTCATCCCAGCAGTGCTCGGGGACCGTATGTGCTTCCAGGCTTCATCCCATCCGTGTGTGTGAGGCGGGCGCCCTCTGTGCACCATCCCTTCCGCCCCTTCCCAAAGGGTTTTCCTGTCGCATGGACCCTCCTCGGGTCTCTGCCCCCCGCCCCGCCCAATCGCTCCAGGAGAAGCTGGCGGGTCTCCATTGGGCGTCCCAGAGCCTGCCCTGCGCATTGGGGTGCCCTGGCCCACGGGAAGCCCCTCGCAGCCCCCCAGGATGCTTGGCTGCATGTCTCACCAAGCTCAGGTCTTTGTGGGGCCTGGACTTGGTTAGTGGGAGCCGGGCGCCCCGCAGGCAGCTGTTCCCAGCCAAGTCACCCAGGGGCGGCAGATCTGCGCCCGTCCCTTGCCCCGGAGCTTCTGGCTCCCTGAGGTTGGACTGGGGCTCGCGCGCTGCTGAGGGTGCCCCAGCCAGTCCCTGCCGCTCTCCTCTCCTCTCTCCTCTCCCACGCTTCTGCCACCTGGGACCCTTTCTTCCGGGAGCCGACTCTGAAATGTGCCTGGCCCTGGGGCCCAGATGTTTGGGGGTGTTGCAGGGGTGAGGGGGGCATCTGGGGGTCCGCCGGGCCTCCCTTTCACCTTCCCTTCTATTTGGGGGCTACACCTACTGGTGCTCGGGGTTTACACCCGACTCTGTGCTCAGGGGTCACTCCTGGTGGGGTTCGGGGGACCTTATTGGGTGCCGGGGATTCAGCTTGGGTCAGCTGTATCCAGGGCAAGTGCCCTCCCCGCTGTCCTGTCTCCGGCCCCCTCTGCCTGGTGTTTCAGGGCCCTACCACGAGTGCAGGCTGACAGGCCTCAGGCACATTCTGGGTGTCAGTCGCGTGGACGCCGAGTCTCATCAGCTGTTCATTGTGACCTGCAGAACGTCAACTGCACGAATTAGGTTTGCTCAAGAACCACTCCCTGGAGACCCCGTATTTCCAGCACAACGGCCGGGAAAGGGGCGTTCAGGATGACCACATTCCGTTTCTGCGAAGAGGTAACAGCAGCGCACGCACGCGCTCATTCACTCCCATGTTTATCGTCCCTGCGGGCCTGTCCCACCGTCCCCAGGCACGGGACCATTCTGCTTAGAAACCGGTCACCCAGGACCCCGTGACTTCTGTTTCTCTCAGGGCTGTCCCTGTGGAACCCGGGATCGCCTTTCGGGTCCTGCCCTCTCCGAGGACGTACGCCCAGGCCCCTGTCCCACTGCCGTCCTTCCTTCCTGCTCAGAGACTCGACTGGTCTTTCGTGCCCTTTGCGTAGCTGGTGGAAACCCGAGTCCTTGGGCTTCACTGGCCTCCGAGGGGCTTCCCCCGGCAGCCAGCGTTAGTTCTTGCAATCGTTTACTCGCTGCTTTTATGGTTGGTGTGAGAGCTCCTGGGGGCAGGTCTCACCACTCATCATTCAAATCTCAGTTTCTGGGAGAGGGACCAGCACATAGTAGGTGCTTTATCACCCCTTCCTGAATGACGGTTGAGTCTGGCTTTGGAGTAGGAGGGCAGGGCGCAGGGACGTTGGAGGGGCTGGAGTGCCAGGACTTCTGAGAGTTCGGACTCTCCTTTCCTTAAGGAGCGGCACGTCCTGGAGGGCCCCTGGCAGCCTGGTCTCACTCTGAGCCACGCCTTTCTCTGCAGGTGTCCCGATTTTGCTCCTGATCACATTTCCCTTCCCTGACGTCTGGCACACCATGGATGACGATGAAGAGCACCTGCACAGAGACACCATCGACAACCTCAGCAAGATCATGGCCGTCTTCGTGTCCGAGTACTTGCACCTCAACTTCTGACGCGGCGGATGGCAGGTCAGGGAACCAGACCCCAGACAGACCCGTTCTGTCGGTATCTTCGAATATCTGATCAATAAATCCTAGATTTGCATCATAGCCTCAACTGCTTCTTGGTTCTTACTGAGTTCTGTTGGCTTGAAACATGGTCCATGTTTAGGACCGTACGTTTTCAATGCCGGGACCACGGCCACCAGCCACCAGTACCAATGTCCCTGTGTCTCAGCCCTCACATTCTTTCACCCTGGAGTCACTCCTTCCCCTCCCCTCAGCACCTCAGTTCCGCCGTCAGATCCCGGGGGTTTATTTGGGTTTGGTTTTTCCGCTTGCTTTGTCTCCTTGTTTTAATTTATTAAAAACACAAATCGAGGTCTCGTAGTTGACAAGGGTATTGAAGATGTTGTCTTAGGCCTGCAGTGCCGCTCCCGGTATCTTTGCCTGACGCTTACTTTCTGACAACACGGAGCCCGAAACCCTTAGTTCCATCCACGCTGCAGTACACAGCACGGCTTCCTCCTTGTAGGAAGCAGCTTGTAAACTGCCGTGGTTCCTCCACATGCTCATCTGTTGCTGGGCTGTTTCCAGATCTCGCTCTTGTAAATAATGTCCTTCCCGGGGAGAGTATCTCTGTGCTTGGGGGAAGATGCTGGGGGCGGAGTCATTGGGTTGGATGGAAGTTCTACTAGTGTCTAAGTCGCTTATTAATTTGGTTCTGGGAACGAAACTCAGGAACTCAAACATGCGAAGCGTGTGGGTTCCACTGAACAGTCTCCTTGCTCTTACGCCTCCATTTTCTTTTGTTTGTGACTTTTGTCTTGTTTTGGGGGCCACACCCAGTGGTACTTGGGGTTTACATCTCTCTCTCAGGGATCACTCCTGGCGGGGCTTGGAGACCCTATGTGGTGCCAGGGACTGAACCTGGTCGGCTGCAGGCAGGGCAAAGCCCCCCAGCCGCTGTGGGTCTCCCCAGCCCCTCTACATTTTCAAAAGTTCTTATTTTCTGTATTCCGAACATGTTCCTTTCTTTGCCTCTGGATAAAAATTATCGAGTTGTATGGGCAGAGTCTCCTGGCCCCACACCTGGCTGTCCTCACCGGAGTCCCTTGCAGGGGGGCCGGTTGAGTTTCCCTCCCCGCCCAGAGCAGAGCTCTGGCAGCCGAAGACCTCCAGAACCAGCCACCACCATGCCAAGACCACTCTCCACACACATGAAGTTACCGGCAGAGGAACAAAGGCATGCAAGTCCTGGGGCTGAGATCTCCAAGCCTGCTCGAATTGGGGCTGAGCATCCTCCACCCAGATCCTCGAAATTCCAGTAGGCAGGGGTCACACCCACCAACTGGCCCCCTGGCACTGTGTAATCCCATCAACGGCCAATACCCAGAGACTATAAAACCCAACTCCCGGAAGCTGACATCTTATTAGCTCATTCTTACTTTGGACAACCTGGAAGGCTACCGAATGTAACCTGCCCACATGGCAGAGTCTGGCAAACTCCCCGTGGCGTACCCAATATGCCAAATACCAGTAACAATGATGGATCTCATTCTCCTAACCCTGAAAGAGTCTTGAATATAGCACTTTTTAAAATCTCAGGGCTAGGATGAAGGAGACGTTACTGGGGCCTGCTCGAGGCAATCGAGGAACAACAGGATGATCGTAATTGTATGGGGTGAGAGATGGTACAGTGCAGGGGGCACTTGCCTTGACCTGGTCAATCCCAGCACATGCAGCCCTGAGCACCGCTAGGAGTGACCCCTGGGTCAGAGCCTTGAGTATCACCAAGTGTCAAGAAAGACAAAAGAAAAACTCCTTTAGATAAACAACTATGGAGTGAAATAGATTTATGTTTCCTGTATCAAAGTCTCCTGAACACGTAAGTACGAGCTGTGGGCCCTGCCTGTCTCCCACTTTCCTTACCTGGGAATCACTGTGTCTGCCGTGAAGCAAACATTGCTCTGAGGAATAGGTTCACTTCATGGATGTGAAACCAGAATAAAATGCCAGTGTGGATTTCTGTTTTAATATATGAGTGAAGAATTAGTATACTTCATAGTTCCTTTTTAATGGCTTTGTACATAAAGCATTTTTAATAAAAATGTAAGGTATAGAAGATGAACAAGAGGGAAAACTCCAACCCTGCAATTCGAGCCAACTCTCCATTTGTTCTTTAGTGTTTCCTCACAAATTCTCCTTCCTGGCGGGGGGCTCCAATGTGACGGGCTGGGGGCAGAGGCTACTCCCATGATCCTTGGCCAAGTTGGCCGGTGGCCAGTGCTGGAGCCCCAGAATACAGTGTGATGGGCCCTTCAATTCTGTCTCACCCCGGGCCGCCCTGGCAATGCTCAGGGGCACTCAAGGGAACATGAGGCAGGATTTAAACTTGGGTCCCTGTGAAAGTGAAGTATTCCTGATCCCTGAACCAGATCTTGCCCCCCTCATGTGTTCAATGCTGACATAGATGACATTATATATATATATACATATGTATATGTATATATATATATATATATCATATGCACATCACACATACACACACACACACACTTTTTTTTCTCTTTGTGGCCACCCCATACTCAGGTCTTACTCCTGACTCTATGCTCAGGGATCACTCCTAGAGGTACTTAGGAGACCACATACAGTGCTGGGGATTGAATCCAGGCCACTGGTGTGTAAGGCAATTGCCATAACTATCTCTCCAGCTCCCACATTTTTTTAATATCAGAAAAAAATGATTTAAACTAATGATATCAAAACAGAATGAAAAGAGGTTGTAAGAAACCTAAGCATAGGGCAGGAGCAATAGCACAGCGGGTAGGACGTTTGCCTTACACACGGCCGACCTGGCTACCATCCCCAGCATCCCATAGGGTCCCCCCGAGCACCGGCAGGAGTAATTCCTGAGTGCAGAGCCAGGAGTAACCCCTGAGCATCACTGGGTATGACCCAAAAAGCAAACAAACAAACAAAAAACCCTAAGCATCTAACCAACCCAAACCTAAACATCAGTTTGACAGTACCATACTACATGTGCAATGGTTACCTACGTATACAAATATACACACATCCCAAAGGAACTTCCAAGGCAGAATGAACTGAATAGATCTACCACGCATGTGGAGCTGGCATTAGATGAATCATTCTTGGAGGAGGAAGTCGAGGGTTATACTGAAGTCAGATGAAAGGAGAGAAACAGGAACGTCAGCAGTTTCCTTCCTTCCGGCTGGTGATGGTGACATTCCCTCCCGGCGGAAGTGTGAGCGTGCTCAGGCCTGCATCTTCTCAGACCGCCTGGAAACGGGCAGAGGCTGATCTGGGCAGAAGCCGTGGAAACCTTCTGGACCATCCCCGTCACATGCAGGGCTGTTTCAGGCCCAGAGCCGTGCAGACAGTGGCCCTGACCTCTCCATGACGCCCTGGGGAGCACGTCAGTGACCCCGAGGACAGTGTGTTTGCACCCAATACCTTGGCCCTGCAACACCCGAGGCTGTTTTCCTCCTTCCCGAGACAGAAGTTCAAAGGAGCATATCCATCACAGGGTGTTCACGAGCTTGACCTTAAAGAAAAGAAACCAAGCCCTGGATCTGCGAACAGTTCCAGGATGGCCTCCGGGCCTTCCTGAGCATCTGTCAGGACAAAGCGGCCCCTGTTTCCAGCCACAGTTCCCGAAACCACTTCCTCCCTCTCCTCCCCAAAGGGGCACATCCATGCAGCCCACGGCCCGGGGGGCTGCAAGGGGCACCCACCTACGTGCAGGGTGCAGGGCCATGCCCCCTGCAGGCTCCGGGTGGTACTTCCCTCGCCACCCAGCCCAGGACGGTCCTCACTGTGTCACTGGCTCTGGTTCAGGCCCATCTGCAAGGCTTCATGGCCCACTTGCAGGCGTCCCGCCTCCTCCCTTCTTTCCTCCCTCCTTCTCTCAGCTCAGCTGCTGACAGGGACGCCCGCCATCCAGGGGAGGCTCCTTGGATCTGGGTCTTGCCGCCCAGCTGTGCCGTTTGTGTTCTGGGATACCCCCAAGCTCCCTGGGGCCCTGCCGGGGCTCCTGTATCTCGGAGAACATGGCTCGAACTTTCGGAGCATCACTGAAAAGCCAGGAGAGTGCTGGAACGTCAGGCCTTGGCCTCAGCAGGCCACCAGTGTCTGTCCACGCGTCCCCCTGCACTGACCACAGAGCCTGGAAGCTTATTTCTGTTTTATTTAGCTCTGGCCTGAACATGTCTAATCTCATGCAAAAGACTCTTTTATTTTCTTTTATTTATTTATTTATTTATTGCTTTTTGGGTCACAGCCAGCAATGCACAGGGGTTGCTCCTGGCTCTGCACTCAGGAGTCACTCCTGGCGGTGCTCAGGGGACCATATGGGATGCTGGGAATCAAATCCGGTTCGGCCGCGTGCAAGGCAAATGCCCTCCCCGCTGTGCTATCGCTCCAGCCCCACAAAAGACTCTTTTAAAGAGAGATTTAAAAAAGTTTTGGGGGCCGCGCCCAGCAGTGCTCAAGGGCAACTCCTGGCTCTGACCCCTAGAAGTTTCTTCTTGAGTAAATTTAAGGGCTTTCTTCTAATGTTCTCAGCACACGCAGGTAACTAGGTGAGCTGGTGGGTCGCCTGGCTCAGGGGATCATGCAGATGTTCGAGTATTTAATACATTGGTTTAGCATTCAACACAGTTGTTTGTAATTGACAAAGCTGGTATAATTGATCAATCATATCTTAATAAAGGGAATAAAGTAAGATCATTGTCATTTCTTTGTTTTCTATTCCCTGAGGTTACGAAGGAGGCAAGATGGTGCTGACGCCAGTTGAACCCCTTGTGCTCTCCTGAGCCTGGCTCCCCATCTTGTTCCGGGTGACGCGCAGCTCTGCACCAGGCGTGGGGTTCCGTGTGTGACCCCTGCTGGACATCGCTGGCTGCTTTGTGGGAGTGGGACAGAGTGGCATCGGTGGGGCGAGGAAAGACCACGGCAGCCACAGCATCACCATCAGGCTGGGCCGAGTCACGGCACCATCAAGCGTGGTGCAGCAACAGTGGCCCGAGCAGTGACTTGTCCATCAACCACTAAGTGACTTGGGACTGGTGCAGGTGTTCGAC